GTTGAAAGAAATGTCTTGAAAACCGTTTCCTCTTTCACCTATCTTGGTTCCATTGTATCCGACGATATTAAAATGGACAAAGAAATTAATTGCAGAATTGGAAAAGCTAGTTTTACTTTCGATAATCTTTATCACAGATTTGAAATACACGTGATATTTTGTTAAGTTGATGTGTACAAATCAGTAGTACTGACATCCCTACTCTATTTGTGCAGAATCGTTGACTCTGTACCGATGACAAATCAATCAACTGAATGCCTTTCATATGCGTCGCCTGTGTTGATCTGCAACAGAAAACTGGGTGATCGCATTAGAAACAATGAATTTCTGACTAAATGCAACATGACAGGCATTGAAGTCATCCTAATGAAAATCCAACTCACCTGGGTAAGACATCTTTCTCGTATGAGCAATAGCAGACTTACCAAAACAACTTCTCTTTTGTCAGCTTCTAACAAGCTGGTCAGTTGGAAGACAACACTTATGCTGCAAGGACACACTCAAAGACAATCTGAAGCAATGCAGTATCCCCATTTTTTTCCTGGGAAAACAAAATATCAGAACGAAAGAGCTGGCGCCTGTCCTGCTTCTCATTTTACAAAAACGTTTGAATGAGGCCAACTTGAACATCAGGATCAACTGCATGCAAATATTAAAGAAAATTGGCAACATTAATACTCTTCTTAATGATAGCCTTGCCTACCACTGTGGCTTTTTGGCACGCAGTAAAGCAAACCTTGCCTGTCCACTCGCGGAAACATGTGTCATTTAATAGTCAAACCACATGTTCCATGCAGGCTTCAAGATATGCGTGTACCTAGAAGTTATTTTACTGACCCCCAATTTGTCGTCCGCGACAAGATAGTCTACCATATATATATAATGCCTGGCGTCGACATCGCTTAACTTCATAGACTGGTATTTAGATGCGCTGATATTCTATACTTAGAATCTCTGAACCTGAGAGATATTATTTGTCATGTTTATGCATCAGAATAATTTTCAACGACATAGATTTTTTATGTGTAAGTGAAATACATGTTTCTCCCTTTGCAGTTTTGGGTAAAAAGAAATATGTTGCTATATTTTTCATCACGTCCTCCATAGCTGCCTTCAACGTGTCCTTAGTATAGTTTTGCCTTTTGAAGTCCCCCCCCCTTGACGACGCCCAAGACTTCCAGAAGATTGAAACCAGATCCCATACTTTGGTGGTAGGATAGCCAGCTATTTCTAGGTCATTGTGGGAAGGATCGGATTTCTATGGACCACACCTTTAAAACAAGCTATCATCTTCAAGTCCAGCACCTTAACCTTAGGCATTGGCACTGCGCCTTTTAGAAAGAAGTGCTGCAATTTGAAACAATTATAGTTTATCATGGGCCTTACAGTGATCAGAAACGATGTCAAATTCTGTCAGTGATGAGCCACATATTATTTCTACTGATGTTCTTTTGATCCTCATCGAAGTTTTCTTTTTCATTTGAGAATCAGACCACGCCGGACACCTCGCTAGGTCCATCACGTCGGACTTGTAGCCGATATCTTCGTACACAAAGATATATGATAATCTTTCTCACTTTACAAAAACATTTTTCATACGCTAGAATATTAGATCAATCATAAATACATACCGGTTTTTAATATCAGTCATCTTTGACCTCGTTAATTGCATTAAATATCACAGATTGACCTTTAACAAAATTAGACTTACTGAACGTTGATTGTTTGCTTGATTGAATGATTCGTTTTTACGGCCTTTTGCAGGTTATTTAAAGCCATAAAATATTCTTAGATTCTAAAACCTTTTTGTTTTTTTGAGACACAATAATGGTTTAGTTATACAAGTCTTACTAATTAACCCATAGCTGTCGGGAGATGTGGATTCATACATTTCCAAAAGAGTATTTGCGCGAAAGTGAATATAACGAACCCAACGGTAATTCGAACTCGGCTCTCCGATTAACAATTCCGAGCTATTATCCATTACTCACCTGCACCTCCAAACATAGAGCATCTGGTATTCCCAAACGGTCACCCATCGAGGGGCTGACCAGACTCGACGTTGTTTAACTTGTTTCAACTTGACGTGGCCGTAAACCTACTGACCGTGACTGCAGTAAGTTCGATGTGTTCAACTACTGTGTCTTTGGGCTAAACTAAATAAAACTTAGTAAAATTAAATATCATCAGCACTGACTCAGGCGTAATAAAAAAATTATAGAAAGTACTTGACACATTCTATAAAGCTTTATTTTTACAAGAATCATAACAGATCAAAAATGGAATATTTCTGCCATATCTGGGCTGGAGCTGCACAATCGTCATTTTCCAGCCTTGATAGTATTCAAACTTGTCGCAGCCCTGCAGGGAGTAAAATATTTTCCAATTTATACCCTCTTTCCCGTAGATGCAATATCACAAGTTACTCTATTAGTGCTTTGTTACTCTATTGGTACTTTGTTACTCTATTGGTATTTTGTTACTCTATTGGTAACTTCGATGGAAAATGTCCAGATGACATCCTCTTTATAGTCCCACCGGTTCAAACGTTTTTAGCTAAGACTCGTCATGTTACGTCCACTGACTCACATTACCCATATTTCCTGTGTATTCCAGTTGTAAGGAGGAAGTTCCAATCACAGAGCTTTCGCCTAAGAACTAATACTTTGTTGAACAAATTCCGCATGAATGCTTCCAATGGACACTGTCATTTTAATCCCTCCAAGTCAAGCGTCAGTCATTATCTATCGTCCTTATCCTTCATTTCCTTCTACCTCATCTGAAATGAATGGAATTAGAAATGGAATTACGGAAAAGGAGAAATAGGTACACACTCCTCCCCGGTCTTTTAAACAGGTTTATCCATTCTTTCCAGTTTAAGATAAGGTTTCCAGTTCCTTCTAAAGTCTTCTAATTCCCTTTCACTTCCTGCAACACCTTGAGTCTTAGTGGCATTGTCACCTTGTTTGGAGTGGATTGATTAAAAATAATATACGTAGGCGTTAAGAAGAAGAATTCCATGCGTTTGTGTGCGTGTGTCTATGTGTACGTGTGAATTTATTTTTAAGAATAAGAACAAGTAAGTGTATGTATAGAAGGTGTTTGGGCATTTGATTAATTAATGACAAAGGTGAGGGTGCGTACCTGTGTTTGTGTGAGTATGTCTCGGCGTGTTCACTCGTGTATGTTTACATGTGATAGCTGCAGGTGTACGTGAAAAAGGAAGATAAAGATAGGAAACAAAGACAGGTGGATGGCTAGAGGTTGTGGGAGGTGTTGAAGTAACTTGATAGACAAGACAAGTTTATGTCTACCTCTGAAATGTAAACGAACCTTCTTTCACAATGCAGTTGTCAGCATATCTCTTAGAAATCAGGTGTGTATATTCCGTATATATTCGCTTATCATTCGACTTTTGAAGATATAATTATGAAGCTAATTTTAAGAAGTTCGCATCATACACAAGATATAAAGTTAACATATAAAGTTGACCAAACTATATATCCATTTACTGTAGTCAAAATGTACAGTTTTATTTAAAATAAACATTCTTTCGATAAAACTCATATTTTAAGATATCAAGTACCGTATATACTCGCATATCATTCAACATTTGATGACATAATTTTGAAGCTAATTTTAAGGGGGTCGCATCATACACGAGATATAAACATAGCATATGTATTGCTGGCCCTCGTTACACCATTGAGCAAACTATATATCCATTTACTGTAGTCAAATTAGTTTCCAAATTACGTCTTCAAAGGGCACATATACATGAGTATATACTTGTATGCATATATACGAGGGGATGCCGAAAATTCTCAGTACAACTAAGAAACCTTCCACTCCCCACAAAATAGTCATTGGTCAGATTTTGGTAAGTGGGTAAGACAGAGAACTTTTCAGCTTACTTTCCAATGAAATTACATATATGTACCTGTTTACGCCGTGTATATCTGGTATCCTTTTGATATACGTTTCTGCTTGTCGGTTTGGAAGAGGTGCCCGTTGCTCTATCGATGACAGAGAAGTAGCCAAGTGACAGCCAATTAAAAGATCAATACTAGCGACCAATACAATAGGAACCAGATACAATTGCTTTCTAATGGTAATCTTAAAACCAATTCATGGTTGGTGAGATATCCATCTCTATAGACATACTAAACCAAGGTCCCATCTACTGCCTCTCCAGTATTCAACCTTACTGCCCACTGCCATCGTTCCATTACCCCTACCACTAATTCATCGATCAACTTTATGATCGATTATCCTGCGTCTGACAAATGCAGCGTTGAATCAAATGTGGTAAAATTAGCGGCGAGATTACTCGTTTCCGGGCATCGAGGTTTGCCTCTCAGTACAGTGCAAGTTTGACTAGCGAATGAACGGAGCCAACACAGACTGTTAATCTATCAGTCGACTTGAGAAGGTGAAGAATCCAATTAAGAGACCGGTCCAGGTGTATTGGTGTGTATTGGGGTCTGTAACTAAAAATGCGGAGAGCAGACATGAGAAAAATTGAAGGACATCGGCTTCTCTTGCTTCTCCGAAATCCGATTGTAAATGTGTGTTGGTGTGTGCATTTATATGATCACGTATGTGAATTATATATTTTCTTCATTATTATTTTCTGTTTGTATGTATGTGTGTGTGTGTGTGTGAGAGAGAGAGAGAGAGAGAGAGAGAGAGAAAGACTATATGAGAAAGGAGAAAAGACACAAAGGGCGAAGGAAACTATGGGAATGAGATAAATAAAATAAGAATTGTTAGAGGAAAAATAGAGGAAGGAAGGAAGGAAGGAAGGAAGGAAGGAAGGAATTTCAGTTGCAATTGTCATGTAAATAAAGGAAAATAATCTATTGGAAAAAGAAAAAGAAAGAAAAGAATGAAGGAGATTTATTCGTAGAAAGAAAGAAAAAATAAATAAATAAATAAATAAAGAATAAATGAAGGAAAGAAGGAAATTTAGTAGAAACAGAAACAAATCTAGAAGGAACTATATAAGAAAGAAAGAAAGAAAGAAAGAAAGAAATGAGGAACTATATAAGAAAGATATAACGACAAATAAAGAAAGGACTGTATAAGAAAGAAAGAAAGAAAGAAAGAAACGTGGAACTGTATAAGAAAGATATAACGACAAAGAAAGAAAGAAAGGACTGTATAAGAAAGAAAGAAAGAAAGAAAGAAAGAACTATATAAGAAAGATATAAAGACAAATAAACAAAGAAAGGACTGTATAAGAAAGAAAGAAAGAAAGAAAGAAAGAAAGAACTATATAAGAAAGATATAACAACAAAGAAAGAAAGAAAGGACTGTATAAGAAAGAAAGAAAGAAAGAAAGAAAGAAAGAAAGAAAGAAAAGAGGAAGAGTATAAGAAAGATATAACCACAAAGAAAAAGAAAGGAGACACTATATAAGAAAGAAAGAAACGAGGAACTTTATAAGAAAGAAAGAAAGAAAGAAAGAAAGAAAGAAAGAAAGAAAGAAAGAAAGAAAGAAAGAAAGAAAGAAAGAACAAGTATGTGACTAAATAACTCATTTTAAAGGCAGAGCGGATGAATCTACTTAAGTAGGTAAATCAAAAAAGTGCGTCTATTATTGAATTCGTCAGCTCTATTGAACTGTATAAAGCGGCGTGGCACAGTAACAGATAGTGTAAAGGATTTATTGGACACTTCATGAACCTCCCTCTTCTCTGTCCAACAATAATACACACGCATATATTAATTACTTCATTAATCTCATTTTTAACATCTTTCCTAACAAATTAAATTACTTAATCGAATTTCTAACATGTTTCTTAACGTTACTCAACCATAGTTCCCGCCTCCTTGGAGCGGAAAACTATAAACATTCGCCTTTTGGTCAATATTTATGAGAATTTCGGAATGGCAGCGATAGCATGTATATATTGGGAACTTGAAGCATAGAATAAAGTCTGTAAATATGAAAAGGTTTATAATTTACCAATCATTTTAAAACACTTGATGTATTATTCATTGTCTTTTAATTGTGCGTCAACGAAATCTAAGTCTAAAAGTCACGAGGATTTATGTTATTTAAGTTTTAAACCTGAATTAACTTTTAAATCATTTATGAAATAAAGTTCTTATTAAATTTTTAGCTTAATATATTTCATCCAGCTTTAAATTTCAGCTATTATAATTTTTTGTTTATCATTATAGTCACGCTCTTACTAAGCCATTACTGTTATTGGGAGGCCATATGTTTGTGATTCTAGGGCAAGATACCCTGACAAAACCCATCCCTCTTCAGTCTGGTTTCGAAGTCAGTTGGTCTTTCGTTGGGGGGGGGGTGCAAATGAAGAATAGAGATATGAATAGTATATGCCGGAAAGTAAAAGTAACAACCTCGGCTAAAATTCGAACTTCCACGTTGATTCAGTTTTCTGCACTTAAATCCGCTACACAGCGCGTATATTCACATCATTATATTAGCTATCACTTAATAGGTGTTAAGTCCAAAAAGAAAAGCTATCACTTAATAGGTGTTAAGTCCAAAAAGAAAAGCTATCACTTAATAGGTGTTAAGTCCAAAAAGAAAAGCTACCACTTAATAGGTGTTAAGTCCAAAAACAAGCTACCACTTAATAGGTGTTAAGACCAAAAAACAAGCTATCAATTAATAGGTGTTAAGTCCAAAAAGAAAAGCTACCACTTAATAGGTGTTAAGTCCAAAAAACAAGCTATCAATTAATAGGTGTTAAGTCCAAAAAGAAAAGCTACCACTTAATAGGTGTTAAGTCCAAAAACAAGCTACCACTTAATAGGTGTTAAGTCCAAAAAACAAGCTATCAATTAATAGGTGTTAAGTCCAAAAAGAAAAGCTACCACTTAATAGGTGTTAAGTCCAAAAACAAGCTACCACTTAATAGGTGTTAAGTCCAAAAAACAAGCTATCAATTAATAGGTGTTAAGTCCAAAAAGAAAAGCTACCACTTAATAGGTGTTAAGTCCAAAAACAAGCTACCACTTAATAGGTGTTAAGTCCAAAAAACAAGCTACCACTTAATAGGTGTTAAGTACAAAAAACAAGCTATCTCTTAATAGGTGTTAAGTCCAAAAGACAAGGTACTACTTAACAGGTGTTAAGTCCAAAAAACAAGGTACCACTTAATAGGTGTTAAGTCCAAAAAACAAGGTACTACTTAACAGGTGTTAAGTCCAAAAAACAAGCTACCACTTAATAGGTGTTAAGTATAAAAAACAAAGTACTATTTAATAGGTGTTAAGTTTGAAAAAACAAGCTACCACTTAATAGGTGTTAAGTCCAAAATAGGATCGAAAACCAAATGTACTACGGAAATGTGCTGTATTTTTTTGTATGCAATAGCCTTTGTGAACCTATCTAAAAAAACAAAAAAAAGAAGGAATTACTTAGGAGGACACTGCGGAAACTAAGTTTAAGTGTAAGTCGTTTTTTTCATACTCTTACTTCTGAGCATTGCCGCTTAGATTTCTCTGATCTTATTTAAAGACAAACGTTTTTAAATGAATAAAATTATTATAGATTATTTTATTGTTTTTTTAATGCTGAAATTAAGCAAATAAAAGGCCAGAGGGCGACTCATGGTAGAAAGTTACTGCTAAAATAATCAAACTGAATCAGTTGTAATATGTGATGGGAAGGGAAGATTATGAGGTTAAGAAGAGAGTTAATATTTTTTATTAATGATGTAAAAAAAATTCAAAGCCGAGAGAAATATCATTGCAGTTTGTTTTACAATTAATTACAAAAATCTTGAACTCGAGATATTCAACAGCTAAATGAAAAAAATATTTTAAATTATTATTACTATCATAACTATTATTTACGTATTTAATTATTTATGTATTTATTTATTTATTTATGTATTTATTTATTTACGTATGTATTTATTTATTTATGTATTTATTTATTTATATATATATTTATTTATTGAGCTGCACGCCAAGAAACTGACGAAATCGAAATATATATACGAAACCCAATATATTCATCATGACTCCACTCTGATAAGACTATAACAACTGTATATATCATAGCGTTATTATTATTATTATTATTATTATTTGTGTATGTTATGCTTCCTGTTTTGTATCCTACAGAGCCGGGTCCAAACTATGGTCCTTAGGCCATTATTATTATTATTATTATTATTATTATTATTATTTGTGTATGTTATGCTTCCTGTTTTCTATCCTACAGAGCCGGGTTCAAACTATGGTCCTTAGGCCATTATTATTATTATTATTATTATTATTATTTGTGTATGTTATGCTTCCTGTTTTGTATCCTACAGAGCCGGGTCCAAACTATGGTCCTTAGGCCATTATTATTATTATTATTATTATTATTATTATTTGTGTATGTTATATTTCCTGTTTTGTATCCTACAGAACCTGTTCCAAACTATGGTCGTTAGGCCATTATTATTATTATTATTATTATTATTATTATTATTATTATTATTATTATTATTATTATTTGTGCATTTTATGCTTCCTGTTTTGTATCCTACAGAGCCAAGTTCAAACTATGGTCCTTAGGCCATTATTATTATTATTATTATTATTATTATTATTATTATTATTTGTGTATGTTATGTTTCCTGTTTTGCATCCTACAGAACCTGTTCCAAACTATGGTACTTAGGCCATTATTATTATTATTATTATTATTATTTGTGTATGTTATGTTTCCTGTTTTGTATCCTACAGAACCTGTTCCAAACTATGGTCCTTAGGCCATTATTATTATTATTATTTGTGTATGTTATGTTTCCTGTTTTATTTACTACAGAACCGGTTCCAAACTATGGTCCTTAGGCCATTATTATTATCATTATTATTATTATTATTATTATTATTATTAATGTATGTTATGTTTCCTGTTTTGTATCCTACAGAGCCGTGTCCAAATTATGCTCCTTGGGCCCTATAGGAGAACTGTCATTTAATTGATAACACTTTTCTTAGTATATGGGATGTTCCTAATAGAGCGATCTTCTTGTGTGTCAATATTACCTGGGACAGTGTTAATAAAATTGTTCATTCTTTTTCTTACGAGTCCCAAAGTCCGATTACTATTTGTAGAGATTCAGATTTAATTCCCCACATCTTGTTAATCTCGATCTCCAGGTCCATGTTTTTGGATAATTTCTCGATAATTCTCATGGAGATATTTCTCTCAGATGGTACTGTTATGTCAATAAGTATACACTTCCTGAATTTCGTGTCTTTGATGATAATATCGGGTCTGTTGGCTTTTATTTGCCTGTCTTTTGAATTGGCATGTCCCAGAGGATAGTTACATCGTTAGTTAGTGACTCGTTGGTGCTCATACCATCTTTCAGTGGTTTCGATTTTGTGCTTCTTGAATATTTTCCAGTACACATACGTCGATACCTTGTTATGTCTCTGGGTACATTCATTTTTGCTAGTCCGGGCATCCTGAGATAATAAGGTTGACAGTTTCATCATATTTTCCGCAGATCTTGCATTTCGGGTTTGTTCCATTTTTAACTATGTGACAGTGATAGGATCTTGTTGCGAGGCTTTGGTCATGAGCTGCAATAATTAGGCCTTCTGTCTCAGCTTTCAGCCAGGTGCCCCTCAGATGTGTTTTCTGTTGGCCCACACATTCTTTTCTTTTTAGATTTTGTGGTTTGCCATGCAATTTTTTGTAATTTCATTTGACCAGGTTGTTTTGCTTTTTGTCTTACTCGTTCGGTGTAGATGGTATTCGCTTCGTTTTTTGTTAGGTAGGATTTCAGGTATATTAAATTATTTCTTGAAGAGTGCAGCTTCTTTGTTGATGGAGTGGATTTGGTTTTTTAATATTTGCAGGAAGGGTCATAGGTTTTTGTAACGTAGGCTTCCTATCCGATTGTTGTAGTTTTTAGAGTTAATTCAAGTTGGATTAGACCTTGGTACATACAGCCTATCCACATCTGATTTCAGGTGGTGCATCCTCATTTGGGTAAGCATTTTTTCTGGTCTTGGCATCCGATCGTTTAATGCCATTCAACTTCCATTTAATAATGTTGAAGTTGTATGTTACTACGGGTATAGCTAAGGTGTTGATACCCTTCATTTTATTGACCCCATTTAGTTCGCTTTCTAGTATCAAACACACTCTCCTATAATATACTTTTCGAATATTTTCCTTCATAATTGTATGTTGGTATGCCATCTCCTTCATTAATTCCTAAGTATTTGTATCTACCATCTAGTTCCTTAATCGCGTTGTTGATATCAAGGTCTAAATCTGGTTTTCGTTAGTTTACCTCTTTGAAAGTGACTTTGTCACATTTATCGATTCCGAACTCCATCCTAATGTCTTCGCTGAAGGGTTTGACAATGGTCAGTAGGTTTTTCTGTTGGTTGTCATCCTTGGTAAAAGTTTTAAGATCATCAATATAGAATTAGTGATTCAGTTTACTATTCTGTGACTTGTATCCTTAGCTACTGTTGTTCAGCAGGCAGCTGAGTGGCGCTAATGCAAGACAGAAGAGTAGTGGTGACAATGAATCTCCTTGGAAGATCTCACTTTTGATATTGATTGGTCTCGATGTTAATTATCCTTTTGTATGGTTTAGATTTAGTGTAGTCTTCCAGTTTTTCATGTTCTCCGTTATAAATTTGACTGTTGTGACGCATACTCTGTATATTTTTAGGCTCTTCTTTATCCATGAGTGTGGAACACTGTCGAACGCCTTTCTGTAGTCGATCCATGCTATCAATAAGTTTCTATTCTTTGTTTTCACCTCTTCCAATATTGTTTTTTTATTGATAATTAGTTAGTCTTTGCATCCGTAACTTCCTCTTTTACATCCCTTCTGTTCCGCTGGGAATAAATTGTTTTTCTCAAGGAAGATTTATATCTTTTCGGTTATGATAGGAGTAAGGACCTTGTACATTGTCGGTAGGCAGGTGACGGGCCTATAGTTCTTCGGGTTATGCATCTCTTCTGTTTTTGGGAGTATGTATGTTACTTCCCACGTGAGCCATTTGTGGCATTTTTCTGGGTTTATGATTATATCAGTGTATGCTCGTGCGAGGTCTTAATGGTTGTTAGATAGTTTGTTTTTTTTGTTTGTTTTTTATCCAAAGATTGGCTGCTTTCCTGTTTTTGGTTTTGCAGATAGCAGAAATTGTTTCAGTAATATTGATATCCATACATTTTGGGCACTATATGTGTGTGTTGTTCCTGTTATTGCTTGTGTCATGTAGCTCTTTCATTGTGCATTTTACAGTTTTCCCACATCTTAGACCAGAAATCCTCGACTTCCTAGATATTAGGTGGGTCATTTATCTCTATTTTTTTCAAGTTCTCCAAATATTTTCTTGGCATCTTCTTTGAAGATTTTATTTTGCCAGAAGAATATTTTTTTCTTTCTTTCATAACGCCTAATTCTCTGTGTCTTTGCTTGACTTTGTTGTTTTAGCTTCTCTTTAATTTTTGAAACGTCAGTCTTATTCTTTATGCTAAGGCTTCGTTTCCGTTGTTTCCTTCTTTCTTTCATTTTAGAGCCCTTTTCTACTTCATTTAGAAGTGACAATTGTTTTCGTAGGTTATTTATTTCGGTTTCTATTTTTCTTTCCAGACTGGAATGTTTCTTTTTCACTTACGTTGTGTTTTTACTTTTTCACTTACTGTTTCTGCGATCGTTGTCGAGGCTGTGTATATAAGATAATTAATTTCTATCATGTTCATAGGTCTTTCCATTTCGTCCCTTATTTTTCTAATAGCTTGGTTAACAAGGTTGATGGTTTCCTTCACTTGATGGTTCTTTCTTACTTTTAGAATTGTCGGCCTTTCCTCGAAAGACATTTCCTATATAGTCTCCCATTTATATCAGATGTTTTTGTCATCGCTGTTTCTCCCTCATATTCGTCATTATCTTCTTCTATTGGCTTGTATAACTCAGAGGGATTATTATAACTGGTTTCTATTTGTTCCTCTGCATGTGTTTCCTCTGGATTGTTGGCATTTAGCCCATCGATGATAACATTTACTGTATTTATGATGATTTCTCGGGTGCTTTCGAATTCTCTGTCAGGTATTCTTATGATGTCACGCCTGATATTGGCTGGTTTGTTGGCATCGATGTTTGAGGGGTGTTTTTTTTTTCGCCAGATATTGTAGGCGGCTTTGGTCGTTAGTGTCGTTGTTGGACCATTTATTTATGGTTCTTTTTGTGGGATTTTCTTTTAATGAATATAGAGGACTTCTGTGAGGACTGTCCTCGGCGTTGTTTTACTCTAGTTCTTGTCGGCTAGTGTTTGTCCCAGTTGCAGACTCTAATCTCAATCTCATATTATTATTATTATTATTAGTGAGTGAGAGAGCAACATACCAAGTCCGACAATTATTTTTAAAGACATTTTTATGTTTATACATTCTTTTTTATAGATACAAATATTTACGTAAATGCTCTGTTTATAATAAACAATATTAACAATATTTATCGCCCCGAATATCCGAGAAATTTTCATAGAAATATGCGTCCTCCGACAGGAATCGATAATAATTGTCAGACTTTATCCATTTTATAATGTGTGACGTCATTTGTTTTCATTTGGATACACATCGATCAGATACGAATGTACGTGAGAAAATCATGGAAAATTGTAGTTTAAAAACAGTAAAATCGACATTGCTAAAGGAAACGTTCCTTTGTGGCGAAATCGGTAAAAGCACTGAGCTATATGACGGTTCCGTATAAGATACAGGTTCGATTCCTGTCGGGGGACGCATATTTTCTATGACAATTTCTCGGACATTCAGGCCGGTAAATGTTGTTAATACTGTTTATTATAAAGAGGGCATTTACTTAAATATTTGTATCTATAAAAAAAGAATGTGTAAATATAAAAATGTCTTTATATATATATATATATTTATATGGAACATCAATTATCAGAACGAGACGAGCATGTACACTTTTTTCTGAAATTTAGTTGTTCGGATAACTTATCATAAACACATAAAAAAACAAGATTTAAAGGGTCTCTATTTATCCAATCGAAAAACTGAGTAAATTGCTTTAAAATTCGTTATACTTTAAAAAACACTTTATTCCTCATTTAGATAAGAAAAATCTGGAGCTGAAAATTGAAAGTGTCTTGACGTAATTACAAAAATACATTGATGCATGTCTACCGTAAATATATTGAGTTAGTCGAATATGCTTACCTTCAAGTCAATAAAATTAATTGACGTGGTGATTGAACATTTTTTTCCATTGAAAATAACCAATCATTGTTCTTAGTAGTTCATGTTTCTTTGTTGTTTGTTTTTGGGGGTTTTTTTGTTTTTTTTTTTAATAAATATTTGATACAACAGCGTTGACTTCGTCTTGTGCTTCATAAAAAATCGATCAGAAGCCATCGACATTTTTGCTACTGGTGGCTGCAGGATGTGTCAGTATCTGAATTTCCTAATTATCGACTGCGTCTTGATTTTCCTGTTGTTCTCTCATTGCTTACGGCCATATCACCTTGAAACACCGGTTGCCATACGATCATCGAAGTTAAGCAATATCAAGCCTGACCGGTACATAGATGGGTGGCCACTTGAGAATACCAAATGCTATAAGCTTAGTTGTATGGGTAATGTGGCTGATAATGCCTCAGAATTGTTTATCAGAGTTCCAATTCCAGTCGGGTTCGTTATATTCAATTATGCACAAAATACCCTTGCGAAAGGTATGAATCCACTTCTTCTCTCCCAGCTATGGGTTTGTTGTGGAGTTATTTTGCAGTGGAGGTTTGTATTTGTACTAAGTCGGTCCTAAAATAGGTTCGACGTACAAAACGTTAGGAACTTGATATAATAGGCATTACGCAGAGTAATCTTCTGGTGGTCGCTGATGCTTTCGCATTCGACTAACTGTCGTCCGACATCGACTCACTGACTGACCCCCGTTTCTATTACTACTCCTACTTATATTAAGTGGGAGAGTCTATTAACTATATAATAGGTGTGTTTCACCATAACACCCCCTCCTAAAACTTTACTCCGTAGGAGTAAAACATTTTTCTTTATTTATTGTTTACAGGAAATATAAAGAAAAAAAAAACTTCATTTTTTAGCAACATCGTAGCGTATCTCCTACGTTTTGGATCCACTTTTAAATGATCAGTTGCCTTTCTTTTTCTCCTGGATCGGCGTACCTCAGGTAAAATTGTTGCAGGCGTCGTTAGATCAAACGTATCGAAAATCACCTACATCGGCGTTTCTTCCGCGGGACCGCTGTCAACCACGTCTGAAAAACGTCGTCTGATCTGGTTAGTGCACGTGAATTTTTCGCCTTTCACCAAGTATATCATATTGCCAATCCGCTTTTCTATTTTTTTGGTACCTCCATAGTGTTACCAGAAACAACCTTCCACTTTGAGCTTCTTAAGGATGGAGTCACAGTTTTTATAGGTTCTTCTTGTGGTTCTATTTGTTCAGCCTCTAGCTTCCCTTTTGTTGATTTTGTGCTTCTTAACGTTTTCTGTGGTGACTTCAGTTGACTTAAATCATTTAATAATACTGCATGTCCTTGGCTGCGGGTAACTCGCTCCCCAGTTTTTCTCGGTGTCGGCTTCATCTTTACTTTCTGGGGCTTTTTTTTTCACGTATACCGTCGGTGTAGCCCATTCACTATATTCAACACCGGTTTTCTCTAATCTTTCCAATTCTTTATCTATCTGTTCAATTGAGGCAAACGGCACATTCCTTTTCTTTTTGAATACCGCCTGAGCGTTTTCTTTTAGCTGGAATTTTGCCTCCATCTTGGTACACGTTCCCAATCCTGGAGAACAAACAGTAGGAACTGTTTCCTTAAGTTTCTTTACTAGTTTTTGGCTTCGGTGTTTAAACTTTCTACCTTGTAACAGAAGAAATTTATCGGTAGATCCCATAATTGGAATTCTGTTATCCAATTCGTACCAAGTAAGTTCGTGGTATATTTTCTCTGAGAAATAGTTTAGCTTTTCGCGTTTTTTTTATTTAACGTGACGTTTGTAACAAATTGCCCAATAAATTGTATTTTTTTCTCCCGTCACTCACCTCGCGATTTTCTTTGTCTTCATTAAAGTTGGTTTCTCCAACTTCTTCACGTATACAAATTTATTATAGATAGGTCGGAACCAGTGTCGAGTTGCATTTTTATTTTTTTTTAATTATTTATTTCGACGGTAACAAATTTTCTGGTTATTCCATCTTTTACCGCGTTGGACTTTAATTTTCTTATTTTATTGTCTTTATTTTTTGACCTGCAATGTGAGATTTTATGACCCACTCTTTTACAGTTGAAGCATTTTTTTATTTCTAAAATTGCAATATCTGTACCAGTGGAGTTCACTGCAAGCAAAACATGGCTTCGGGAGTTTTTGTTTATTTTTCTCTGGTATTTCACTTCTTGCTTGATAATCCGCAATTTTAGAATTCTTTTTGATAGACTGAGTTTGTTCTTTGTGGCGTATTTTCCTTACATGAGAGACTGTTCTATCTTTTTTGAATCTTTCTTTACGCTAACATATCTTGTGCAGTCTTCTGCCAACTTCTGTACCGTAATCCTTGGTTCGCTTTCCAATTTTGCCAGTACTAATTTTCTCAGCTGCGTCTCTTTCCGATACCAGCCCTTGAACAAACACCAAGAACTTAAAATTGTCTGCGCTTAACTCTGCCAGCTTGAATTCTTCACAATGCTTGTTCACATTGGCTGCGTACGTTATATAGTCTTGTTCGTCATCTTTCATCAGATTCAAATATTTCCACCTCTTGTGAAACAAAGATGTCTTTTTACTAAATAATTCACTTAATATATTTACCGCCTCGGTAAATGTCAACACGCTAGTTTTTTTTTCGGTAAAATGTAGTTTACCAATTTGTTATGCTCAGCAGTTCCTAATTTGCTTAAAAGAAGCCTAACCTTCTTTCCTTCAGACCACGAGTGTCAGTCCTCGTTATACACGTCCGTAAATTTTTTATAATACTCCTCAAAAGTTATCTCTTCATCTGGACTGTACGCGAATGTTTCAATTGAATTCCATATTATAGATTTTTCTCTTTCCTCTTCTCAGTTATTTCCAGAATTTTGTTTTGAAACTCCCTATGCATCTGTTTCATTTCTCGTTGGAATTGCATTTGTCTATTGAAAGTTTCCTCTTGTAGCTGCATCTGGAATGTTTTTTGTTGCTCTAATATTGTCATCTGTTGTTCCGCCTGGAACTTAAAAAATTCCCGGAATATATTTTTGCATTCCTCCATCTTCGTATAAGTTTACACAATGCCTAAATACTGTAGAACGGGGGTCCTACGAATTTGCAATTCGTGACCTATTTGAGCAAACTGTCTTATCGGGAAAAAATTCTTTTCTCAGACAGATTTTTTTCGTCATTAAGTTGACGTCTTGGCTTTCGAAAACTTTGCCAAGTTTTTTTTTTTTTTTTTTTTAAGTGTGAATCCAAGATTTTGTCGCCGAAATTATTGTGGCGAGCGAATTTTTTTCTTCCTCCGTATAAGTACGAATTTCGTCGGCAAAAATTGTTATGGCGAGCGAATTTTTTTTTCTTCCACTGTATGAGTACGAATTTCGTCGCCAAAAATTGTTATGGCGAGCGAATTTTTTTCAAATGAATTCAAATCCCTCGTCGCCAAATATTGTTGTGGAGTTATTTCGCAGTGGAGGCTTGTATTTGTACTAAGTCGGTCCTAAAATAGGTTCGACGTACAAAACGTTAGGAACTTGATATAATAGGCATTACGCAGAGTAATCTTGTGGTGGTCGCTGATGCTTTCGTATTCGACTAACTGTCGTCCGACATCGACTCACTGACTGATCCCCGTTTCTATTACTGCTCCTACTTATATTAGGTGGGAGAGTCTATTAACTATATAATAGGTGTGTTTCACCATAACAGGGTTAATTAGTAAGTCTTGTTTCACTAAATTATTATTATCTCCCCTAGTTATTCTTACAATCTAAAATATTTTCAAAGGGTTGATAAGGCGTAGAAAATGAATGAATCAATCAATCAATCATTGTTTTTCTGTGACAATGATTGATTATCTGTTCGTAGTTGAGTGTCTTTGTTTCGATCTCGTTGTCTCAGTTTACACAAGCATCGATCTCAGCCTTCACACCCCCTCTCTCGGTCTTTTGAACAGGAGTAGGAGTTTATCCCTTGTTTTTTTATTAGGATTGGGTTTCCGGTCCCTCATAAAGTTTTCTCATTCTCTTCGCTCCCTTGTATCGTAGTGGCATTATCACATTGCTTGGGGTGAATTGGGTAAAAACTTCCTTGTATTGAACGTTAATTATCTTAAATTATTCTTTTTTATTTTGAATCACCGTCATAAAAAAGAGGATGAAATCTCATTGGATCTGATCCAAAGCCTGTTACTTCGTTAAGGAACCCCTCCCTGATTAATCATTTCTCTATAGCTTTCCCAAGAATATGAGACATCAGAGCGCAGTGTTCGAATTCCAGTTGGGTGCATTACTTTCACTTACCCACAAATACCTTTAAGAAAGGCATGAATCCATCTCTTCTCCCACCATCTATGGGTTGAATAGCAGGACAGACTGGGTTCTTTTGCCTTGATTGGTAAGCAGTCTAAAACAGAAAGAAACAACAACCTATAATTTTATTTAATTAAAAAAGTCAAATTTAATTTATATTAATGAAATAAGCAATATTTCTTTAACGTAAGTAACTAGTTATAAATTATCTTTTTTATTAATGTTGACTCAATACAAGGCTCAAGATCCGCTCAATTTATATATGTGGTGTTGGATAAGCGTAACAAAGGGCAAGAAGTGAAGTTCTTGGAGCTCGGGAAAGATAATGGCTAACACTAGACTTGAAGAGGTCAAAATTTAATTAGAGAATAAAATTTCAGAGTTCAGTGAGAGACGTCAGAAGTATCGTGTGCAAGTAGACTTTAGAAGGAACCGGAAACTGAATGCTAAACAGGAAATAAGGGATAAACCTTTACTCCGGTTCAAAAGACCGATGAGGGCGTGAACTGGGCGATAGGCTAACCTATCTAGTTCTGTTGAGAGAGAAGTAAAATAAATAAATTATCTATCATAGCTTAGTTGGACATGTTAGAAGTATAGAGTTGAAGTAGACTTTAGAATGAATGACTTATTTTTATGTGTTTAAATAGATTAAAATATTACAAATTTTATTAATGGATGTTATCTATTTCCAATGAAAATATTACTTATTTTATGTTGACTGTTCATACACAAAAGCTGAAATCATTTATTTCATATGATTTTTCTACTCTTAGAGAACGTACATCGACTGTTATTCTGTGACTTTTAGCTATCTACATAAATATGGAGAACAATGCATACATATTAACTTATATCTTTATTATTTTTTTATTTTTATATTAAATTTTGTTCTAATATTTTCCCTGAAGAAGTATTTGATTAAGTATATTGACAATGAATTTGTTTGAAAAACACATAATTGCTATATAAAATAATTTAATTTTATATCATTATGATAACAAATTAATTATATATCACGTACAGGTGAAGAACAATTTAAGTCCTTAGTTTGACGCAGTTGTTAGCTGAATTTGGATCTGCAATGTTCATTGTATAATGTTCGAATATATATAATTAATTAAATTTATAATTATATATAATTAATGGTGAAGAGGAAGGTAACTATGTTGAAAAATAGGATATTTTGTTTTTAATAAAGGGTTTACCATCTGTAGTTCATAAACATCTTGATGTACCTAGGTGCATGCAAATTTGTGTGTGTGTATAAGTATGTGTGCGTTTTTGTGCATGCGCATGTTTGTATGTACATGACTATGTGGGGCGAATGTGCGTGTGTATGTGTTTATAGGATGCATGCCTATGTGTGTGCGTGCGTGTGTGTGTGTTCAGGGAATATCTACAAACGGTTTCCCATTTTTCTCTCATACGTTTTTATTTTGTGTAAGTTTATTCATATATATATATATATATATATATATATATATATATATATATATATATATATATATATATATATATATATACTCCCGTCGGTTTAGTTGATTCAGTTATGAAATTTTGTGCGATCGATAACATTTAAGACCCGCTAGTGATTTACAAAGGACGCTATATATATATATATATATATATATATATATATTTATATATACAATATTTATATAAATATATATGTTTATAATAAATATATTAAATAACATTTATATATATGATATCCG